ACCGTGGTACCCCGGTCAGCACCAACCGAAGAATCATAGACTCGGAGCTCCGTAACTGCCAGTTTGGTATTTTCTGTTGTACTAATAAAATCGAACTCAACGTGTGTCGCAACGGACACAACAATCTGTATTCAGATTCCGTCATCTACTTTCTAATCAACAATCGATGAAGCTAGGCAAATCTATCCACAGGTATAAAGTTTTATGCAAATCCGGAAGTGATACCTGCTCTGTGTAATTTTGGAGAGCACGCATTTGGCCGAAGTTAGTGCTGAAATAAGGCAACCATCTGCTCTCTGCAAAAACTGGTTGTAAAATCGAAGCCCTATAGGTTTCTTGATCCGATAAATGATACATATTGAGAACGTACCAGTAGACTGCCTGAAAGATGCTGCTATTCCCGTCGAATGCCCCACAAATACAATAAAATTCATTGGATTTACAAAACATTCTCACATGCAACCTCCGAGCGTTTTTCATTTTGGTTCGTCTAATTCACTGTGATTGAGAATTTTAACTAGAAATTATGATTTTCCTTCAGCACTTTGTTAGTACTGCATTTTTCAGATTTGCCCATTTGTCTAGATTAACAACGCTGAGGAGGCGCATTTTGATTCCTAGGAATGAAAAACTCGCAAACTCATTAGCTAAAGCATTAATGTCAGACAACTTAAGCGAAGGAATCTAAAATCTCACTATTATCTAGTTTATAACCCAGGTCTACACTCCGGCCAGTCTTGTAAATTGACGGCGAGTTATAAGTCGAAAATCTTCAAAGGCTCAATCACCATGACCTTAAATCTGTAAACATTTTTCGCATTCAGTATTTGCACATCTATATATCCTACTGCATATTCCACCTTCAGAAACATAAGATTTTGGAATTACGAAGCAGGAGTTTCCCAGAACAAGAAAAGATGAGTTTTTCATGAATTACAAGAAAATTGCCTTTTAAAAAATTTTCGATTTGAAAGAACAGCATTTCAAAAAGATCTGGTGAAAGAAAAAGTTAGCTCTGTGGGAAAATTTGTTTCCGTTGACACGATTTACCTTATCAATACGGTTAAGAGCGAATCTCTGATAGATGCGAATAGTTTTGCTAAGCAGATAACGATTAGTGCTGTGATTGGCTCGAATTTGGTGCAGCACCAGCTCGATACTCAGCAAAAGGCGATGCATGGAGCGCTTTTCACGCTCAAAGTAAGCCTTCTTCTCTTCCAGCATCAGCCGCTCGTGAGGATATTCAATTAGGTAAAAAATGAAACCGCCAAAAAACGAATATGCAGCCAGAATAAGTATGGGAAATGCGCCATGGATTCGAGATTTCTTGTAGATACACTGCAATAGTTATAGCAGTATTTCTTATCAAAATCCTCCTGGTTTTCAGTTTGAAAATTCCGATGTTTCTGAGATGTAGCCAGTCGCTGGTTGAAACTAGGCCATTGTATTGATTATTTGTTAGTACAATAGAGCAATAAAATTGACGCTAGTATTTACGGGTATTTTCTAATTTAATCAAAAGTTTTGGGTTTTAAAATCAAACAATTTCCCCATCGGGGTTTATTCACTCAATTTTTTTGCTGTTTCGGATTTAAAAAATCCATTCAACTTCAGTTTCAATTCATTTCAATTTCAGAAAAATCCGAGTTTCAAAAGTTTATTCAGTTTCATCAAATTTTAAATTTTAATAAATGCGGAGGAAAAAACACTGAAAATGAAGTTTATGGACAGTACAAATGCAGTACCTGCAACCGAAGGCATAGTTTTTTGACCAAATGCTCTTTTTGTGAGTGCTGCCAACAGTATCTGAGGGAGCCATCCGGGCTAAGTTGCGATTTCAGATCTTCGATGTCTTCAAAGAAGTCAGCGCTCTGAATCAATGAAAACTTCTTCAAAAGTGCAGCTCTGGACTAGCAATACCTCAAATTTATAGCTGATAAGAAATCTTTCTTAATTCTCCTGAAGCAGCTGGCCAAAATTCTACTACAACTGGACTTGTCCATGAACACAACTGTAATCGAAAAGCGCTCAATATCTATTTCCATAATTTCTTCTTAGGTCACCGGAGTCATTTAACTGATGCTGCCGAAAATACAAGTCGCAAATTCAGATGGAAGATTTCTACTATAAGCGAAATCTCAATCAGTTACGCAGATGCCCCATTCTGTTTCCCATAAAAATCGAGGCTGGAACGCACCAAGGGTGATGGTGCGACCATGAATTTCTGCACCAAACTTGAATTAGGTTAATTGCACAAATGGTTGCTTTATACCTACCTTGTGCACTCACTAACGTAAATTATCGTAAATTTTGCAAAAACGAAAATAAACAATTTCCGTTTAGTGGTCGTTTTTTGAAAACGACCTAGCTGTTCTGTGAGCAACTTTTTCGCCAAATTCAGCCTCCAGGTATGCGCGGCTCTCGCCCGTACGCGAGAGCCGCGCATTCCTGGAGGCTAAATTTGAAACCTTTAATTTGGGCAGAGAATATTCTCCTAAAATTTTAGCTTTCCAGCTCTTCTGGTTTTCGGGTTAGCAATTTTCCCGCCGAAACTTTTACGTGCTCGTGCATGAGTACCAAGCGTGCCTGAAGAAGTTCAAAATTTTTAAATTGCAAATGGGCAGGGAACATTCAGCCTTCCAGCTTCCAAGTTAGCAATTTTCCAGTCAAAACTTCCACTTGCTCGTACTTGCAAATCACGGACTTCTCGGGGCTGGATTTGAAATTTTTAGCTCACACATGCACAGAGAATACCTGCAAAGTTTAAGCTTTTTATCTTCTCTGAATCCCGAGATCGCTTTCTCGCCAAAAATTTGCACATGTTTTTAAGGCGTCCGTATGTGGGAGCCAGGCGTAAGCGAGTGATGATATTAAAACCGGAGGGTCACACATGGTTTGGGCACATACTCCCGAATTTTCAACCTTCTATCTTTTCTGGTTCTCGAGTTGAAAGTGGGTGGTGAAAAGTGCGAACACACACACAGAGTCCTTTGCCAATATGCGTTTTTGCATTTGCATATGCGCAAAAACACATAAAAATGAATCCAAAACCACACTGTAGTACCGAGTAGCATTGGACTAAACAGTATAGAAACATGGCTTTCCGGAACTCCTACTGTTCAAGACATTTGCTCTTTCCTGGGTCCGGGATTTTTGGACTTTTCAATTTCCTCATTGCTATTGATATGTGCATGCGCAGTTATACAGCAGTAAATGTACAGATTTTTAGCAATATTTGTTCCGCATATTGTGCTTTGCATCAATGGGTGACGAGAGTGAACAACTGCTATGAATTTTGTGTCGCCGCAAATTTTATCCGGTGAGGCTACTTCATTTAGCTGTGTGTGTTACTGTAAGCTGAAGCTATCTCAACTTCACTCCAACGAAATATTAATTCAGTTTCGCAACCCACTTCGGATCTACAACTATCCGACGATTCTGACTTGTCAATCCAAGCCTGGATTGAGCAGTGCTCGCAAGGACCCACTTCTCAACTCAGTAAATGCATCGGAAAAAACAGGAATAGAGACTCTTTGTACAAGCTGTAAAGGGTCGAGGAAGTTTTTGCATGGCAAAGAATAGCTGGAATGAGTTGCCAGAGTTCGAGTCAAAAACCGAGAGGAAATTCCAGAAATATATACAGCTTCACACTGTTTTGCGCATATCCTGAGGAACACGGTCAATATGGGGATGTTCAATAATTTTGGCATTTGAGAACCGTTGCGAACCGCGATATCAAATGAAAGAAAAACTGAGTTCGAAAATTAAGGTCATAGTGAAATTGAGGCAGCTTCATCTCCGGTATTTTCAAATCTCAAAGATTCATTGAGAGATATTTGCATGCTTAATCAAAAATCACTCCGGTTCCTTGTTATGCTGACTGCTTAATATTATGCGTGCTAACTCGTGAGGCCACAAATTAAAAAAAATTACAGAGCTGAGTGGTTTGAAGCTGCCGGACGAATATGCGGACGACGATCGCCTCAGCGATGGAACAGATCGGCGTTGCTGCTTGCGCAAATCGTTCAGCGAACGTCCAACTGGCTTCATTCATGCACAAACACATTCCCATCCGTAACATGCGCCCCAAAAGCGACACTTAGACCCAGGCATGTTATAATTAATTTAGACAGACCAAACACAACATGTCTTCCATATTCAGTGCACTTTAGCGCCTAACACTTAGCCAGCCAAAAACGTCATTCTGCTTATTTGTAGTCAAAAAATCCACAAATACCTCGCTTCTATACATTACATGGCGAACCCTCAGCGACCCGTTTCGATGGTAACTTGAGCTCCTTGCATTCCAGAGAGTTGAACTGTCTTTAGCTTTCATTAGAACGATCCTCCGGAAGCGGGAATCATCGAAAATATTATCATAAGTGTTTAAAGTGCTCTGAGGACTTTTGCTTCGTACAGAGTATTTTCTACGAGTTGAGGCAATTTCGGGCAGGAGGGCTTGATACAGTTAACGAGTAGCAGAACTTTGATGAAATTACAAGAGTTTCATGCTGATGGTGTGAAAAACAAAA